TCATTGTGAAACCTGGCCCCACCTTATCATGCGAATTCCTGAGGTCAGATGGCCCAGGGTGTGAGTGGGCCTTAAGGCGTCTGGGAAGGAAATGGAAGAACCCGTGTTGCCATGGGCTCCCCCGTGTCACCTATTGTAGCCAAGATGTCTGGAATTTGTTTAAGCTCAGGGTGATCATTTAGGTCTACCATATGTCATTCACCACGGAGGCAGTGGAGACTGTCAGAAAACGACTACAAGAAGACAACTCCTTGGAGGACAGGACCAACTTCACACCCGATCAGATTTGCACACTGTTAGACCTCTGCCTCACCACTACATATTTCAAATACAACGAAGGCTATTACAGACAAAAACATGGCTTCAATGTTAGCACAAGACAGCGGGGGAAGAATGAAGCCAGTAGCTTACTATTCTAAGAGATTAGATCCAGTTGCTTGTGCTTTGCCTCCATGTGTGAGATCAGTATGTGCAGCGGCTCAGGCCATACAATGTTCTGGGGAAATAGTCTTATTTCACCCTTTGACACTGCTAGTTCCACATGAGGTGGATGTTTTGCTACTACAGACTAAAATGACATTTCTGTCACCTGCAAGACATTTGTCTTTAATGTCACTCTTACTATCACAACCACACATTACCATAAAGCGGTGCACAATTCTAAATCCGTCAACCCTTTTGCCAACAGAGGAAGAGGGCACTCCTCATGAGTGTAGGGACCACGTAGAGAAGGAGTGTAAGCCGAGGGATGACTTAACAGATGTGCCACTTGGTGAGGGAAAGGTTTGGTTTGTTGATGGTTCAAGTTTTAAAACAGCAGAGGGACAGGCTAAAACAGGTTTTGCTGTAGTAGATAGTGAGAAAATTATCTGTGCAAGACAATTAGCATGTTCTATGTCTGCTCAAGCAGCAGAGATAGTAGCTTTAACGGAAGCGTGTAAAGCTGCAGAGAAACAAAATGTGACAATATACACTGATAGCCAGTATGCATTTGCTACATTACATTTCTTTGCAGCGCAGTGGGCAAGACGAGGTATGACAACTTCGACAG